CTACTAAATACCCCACACCCTCCCATGCAAGTAATCACAAACACTTGCCATCCACAAGAAGACAAGGGCATGTTCATTATCTGTTTAAGCCGACACATACACGCAACTGCTTCAGCGCAACATCATCTGGTGTCTTACAGGCCAAGCCCTCAACCATAGCCTCAAAAGCGGTTAGATCAACGGCTACCAGGTCCAGATCGTGTCGAATAGCCTGCATGAGATGCGTGGTGCTGAAATCCACAGCAAAAGGGTTTTGGGCATCTCGCGCCTGCCCGAGAGACTTCGATACACTGTTAGCTTCTGTGAAATCCGTTCCGACAGCAGGTTGATCTGCCACTGTCGTCGCTGTTGTTCCTGCTGCCTCGGACCGGCATTCCTCCAACCTACGTTCTGTCGCGCGCTGAGCCTACAAATGCAAAAAGAGAGGTTTCAGTATGACGAAGTGACTACGGACATACAGAAGTCTTAAAAACCAGTGCATTGAGGCTGAGCAGCTCAAGAGGTAAGCGAAAGATAGAGAGAGTAATACGATTTATCCCAGAACAACTCTGACCTAATCTCATTACCAACGTTTTCCAAGACACCAAGAGTTCATCACGGGTGATAGAACCTGAGCATGAACAGTCCTTGGTTTAAGTAAGTAAGAGACATCATGTCCCCTTCAATCAGGCCACTAGAAATTCTACACAGAACCTCAACGAAAAGGGCGTGCACTTCCCTCAGCCAAACGCATAAAAATGCGGTTATTTCAAATGCAAAAAAGAAGCAGCATCGATCAAACTGTCATCAATGATATGCCTGCTGTTTCCGACCTGCTTTCTTCCAATCTCCACTTCGCCGCCCTCCCAAACTAAGAATGTAAAAAGAGAGGTTTCAATGTGATACCATGGCAAACGAGGATCCAAGGAACCGATCAGAGAGGGTGAGAGACGGTTTAGTGTGAAAATTATCTTTGGCCAAGTTTCAATAGCATGTCCCACAGGCCCCGTCGCAGGAATGCAGTGTATGATGCCTGCAGTAACCAGGCATCATGGCCCATGCGAGCAACAACTGGAGAGTTGATATCAGGGAGAGCAGATGCTTCTTTCTCTGACTGCCCTTTGACATTTCTTCTACGCCATACATACCGCCGTTTCGCCCAAAGCCTCCGCGCTTCCGCTGTCTCGCCTTCTCTCTATATGAACTGTCTATTGACAATCGGCTCTTTTGCATAGAGAAGACTTTCTTTTCAATGTTGCGACCTGTGGTGGTCATTGCCTGCCCGAAGTCTGGCCTTCCTGTCGTGACCTCAATCCGTCTAGACCTCAAGGTCCTGGCGGCCGCCAGACTTATTGATGCGCGTGACGTCGACCACTCACTTCGATGTCCATCCACACGCTGTCAAACCAATCACAGGCTGACCTAGCCAAGGAACGCTCTCCCTTTGTTTACTGGCCTGACCGATCTCAAACCGGCATTTGGACTCGACTGGCACTTCTGGCCGGATGTAGGCTGTCACCGTCAAATCTCTGTCCATCTATTCTCAGTTCCATCGTGTACACAATATAATGTTCCTGCTACTACGGCCTTTACCCACTTCTCCTCCACTAAACAAACATGGTCTGACGATCGAAGTTGCCTGGCTTTAACTCACTTAAGCCCCCGCGACAGATCCACTACAAGTACGAAATCGCTTAACGTTTCGGTTGTTTGAGTTCGTCTGTTTTTAGCTGTCTGCAATGTCACGAAAGAAGTATCAGCTCAGGCAGACATTTGAATTCGGCCGTAAAGCCTTATAATTGAAGAGAGTATGAACAACTATTAACAACCTGACCAGGTACAGACCAAGATTAAGGCCAGGTCAGATCTCCAAACTGCATTTTGCAAATATGCAGTCGACTGTCCAGGAGAACAAACAGAGCTCAATTACATCCCAGAAACACAATATATTTGCAGTTCATAAAGGACCAGAAAGTATGCGCACGCTTACTGGAAAACTGTCTTGGGAATCAGCAAAAGCTGGTGGTACAGTGGAGACCCGATCACAGAGGCCACTTGAGCCGATTTCTGCAGCAGATTCAAGTTTATCTGGATGAAGATCAGAGTTGCATTCTGTTTCCCGTTCTGGACCTGGCTTCGTTGCAGACTGTAAAGGAGAAAAGTCGCGCGTTCGAGCAGTAGAGGCTAAACTCCCGGATTTGCGCATAAATGTCTAATGCCGTCTAATGGACCACAATTTATTGTTTCCTTCATTGAGTGCATTCATGCAGAGCACATCAAACATAAACAACCATAAACTGATCTTATCTGATAAGTCTGTTTTTCACCGTCACAAGGAGCCCCTGACTCGTGGTAGAGCCTAAGCCTGAACAATCTATTCCTCGAAAGCGTCCGTCAATCGGATGCCAGTCTGCAAATTGCCGTTTACTTGCTTCAATTAAACAGGAGCCACTTTCTCCGCTTCAGCAAAGTCCATAGCAATTTTACACAGCTCTACATGATGGAGAGCGTGAACTTTCTTCAACAGAACACTTCAAAATGCCATTACTTCAAGTGCGAAAAAAACAAGCAACAGCGATCAAACTGTCATCAATTATATGCCTGATGCTTTCGATCTGCCTTCCTCCAACCTCTACTCCACCGCCCGCCCAGACTACGAATGTAAACAGAGAGGTTTCAATGTTATACCACGTCAAACGAAGATTCAGGGAACCAACTAGGAAGGGAGAGGGACACTTTAGTGTGAAAGTATTTTTTGGCAAGTTTCAATAGCATGTCCCACAGACCCCGGTGCAGGGATGCAGCATGTGATGCCTACACTATTCAGGTATCATAGCTCATGCGAGCAACAAACGGACAGTTGAGATCAGGGGGAGAGGGTGCTTTTTCTCCTGATTGGCGTATGACACTTCTCCCCCACCATACAAAACGCCGTTTCGCCTAAAGTCTCCGCGTTTCTGCTGTCCCAGGTTCTCACTATATGTACTGTCTATAACCAACCTGCTTTTTTTTGCACATAGAAGACATCGTTTTCGATGACGCCAACTCGCCTAACGTTTCGGTCGTTTGAATTCGTCTTTTTTTAGCAGTCTGCAAAGACCTGAAATAAATACCAGCTTACACAGGCATTTGAAATTGGCCGATATCCTGTTAATTTATGAGAAGATGGGCAACTTATAAAACGTGACCAGCTACAGAAAGGAAGATCAAGATTATGGCCAAGTCAGATCTACAAACTGCATCTCGCATATATGAAGTCCACTGACCACGAAGTGTAATAGAACTTAATTAAATCCCACAAACAGAAAAAGGGTTGCCTAGCATACAGGTCAACAAAGTAAGCGCAAGCTTACCCGAAAACTCTCTTGGGAATCAGTGGAAGCTGGTGGTACAGTGGAGACCCGATCATATAGGCCACCTGAGCCGATTTCTGCAGCAGATTCAAGTTTATCTGGATCAAGATCAGAGTTGCATTCTGTTTCCCATTCTGGGCCTGGCTTCTTTACAGACTGCAAATAAAGGAATGACGGAAGCTGAGAAATTGAACGGTCCTTTTTGTGCTCACGGGCAAAAGCAGACAAAAGATTCGGGTCTGTAAGCTGACGTAACCTTTAGAGCGATATCCTTCAGTGCAGCTGAGTGGGAAAGTCTATGAAGTCGCTAACCACGTTTTAGTGTATTTACTTGTTCTTGTACTTTTAACGGCATTCACCTCGGGCGGGTTGAGCGGGCATCAGTTTTGACATTGACT